TTGAGCTGGGATTGGTGGGATTGAGCTGGGATTGGTGGGATTGAGCTGGGATTGAGCTGGGATTGGGATAAATCCGGCCGGGAAGGAGCTGGAATTGGGAGTTTTGGGGTTTTGGGAGTGTCTGGAGCACGGAAAACAGGGAATGAGGCGGAGGGAAAGGTCGAGGGAGGGATCTCGGGGTTCAGCCAACGCCAGGTGTGGATGTGGGGCATTCCCAGAGCCCGGATCCAGGCCCATCCCGAGGGATCCAGGCCCATCCCGAGGGATCCAGGCCCATCCTGAGGGGTCCAAGCCCATCCTGAGGGGTCCAAGCCCATCCCGAGGGATCCAGGCCCATCCCGAGGGATCCAGGCCCATCCCGAGGGATCCAGGCCCATCCCGAGGGATCCAGGCCCATCCCAAGGGATCCAGGCCCATCCTGAGGGTTCCAAGCCCATCCTGAGGGATCCAATCCCATCCCAATGGATCCCAGGGGGCGGATCCAGGCCCATCCCGAGGGATCCAAGCCCATCCTGAGGGATCCAGGCCCATCCCAATGGATCCTAGAGGGTGGATCCAAGCCCATCCTGACAGATCCAATCCCATCCCAATGGATCCAAGCCCATCCTGAGGCATCCAAGCCCATCCCGAGGGATCCAGGCCCATCCCAATGGATCCTAGAGGGTGGATCCAAGCCCATCCTGAGGGATCCAAGCTGCTCCTGAGGGATCCAGTCCCATCTCAATGGATCCAAGCCCATCCTGAGGGATCCAAGCCCCTCCTGAGGGATTCAAGCCCCTCCTGAGGGATCCAATCCCATCCCAATGGATCCAAGCCCATCCCGAGGGATCCAAGCCCCTCCTGAGGGATCCAGGCCCATCCCAATGGATCCTAGGGGGTGGATCCAAGCCCCTCCTGAGGGATCCAATCCCATCCCAATGCATCCAAGCCCACCCCGAGGGCTCAAACCCCATCCCCCCATTCCCCAGCCCCGTCCCGCCGGCTCCCCGGGCCCCGATCGGTGCCGGTGGGTGCGTTTTCCCCGTTGTTCCCATTCCCATTCCCGTTTTCCCTCAGGCGAGCTGCCTGCAGTGCCTGGAGGCCCGGAACACGCCGCTGCCCGACGCCGCCGCGCCCTTCGTGGCCCGGGCCCTGCGCATCAGCAGCAGCCTCACCGTCCTCCACCTGGAGAACGCCGCGCTCTCCGGACGGCCCCTCATGCTCCTGGGTGAGTCCCGGAATTCCCGGATTCCCTGGGATCCGGGGGCGGCATTCCCGAGTCGGCGGGAAGGGGTTTTACTGGGAATTGTTGGAGTTTGGTTGTCCCGGGTGGGATATCAGGTGTTGTGGAGCACCTGGAGAAGGTGACGCTCTCCGGCAGGCCCCTCGTGCTCCTGGGTGAGTCCTGGAATTCCCGGATTCCCTGGGATCCGGGGGCAGGCAGGGCACCATTCCCGAGTCGGCGGGAAGGGGTTTTACTGGGAATTCTTGGAGTTTGGTTGTCCTGGGTGGGATTTTGGGTGTTGTGGAGCACCTGGAGAAGGCGGCGCTCTCCGGGCGGCCCCTCATGCTCCTGGGTGAGTCCCGGAATTCCCGGATTCCCTGGGATCCGGGGGCAGGCAGGGCACCATTCCCGAGTCGGCGGGAACGGGTTTTTGGGTGTTCCTGTGGGATGAATCCCGTTTGGGATGTGGGGTGTTGTGGAGAAGGCGGCGCTCTCCGACAGGCCCCTCGTGCTCCTGGGTGAGTCCCGGAATTCCCGGATTCCCTGGGATCCGGGGGCGGCATTCCCGAGTCGGCGGGAACGCGTTTTACTGGGAATTGTTGGAATTTGGTTGTCCTGGGTGGGATGTGGGGTGTTGTGGAGAACATGGAGAACGCCGCGCTCTCCGGCAGGCCCCTCATGCTCCTGGGTGAGTCCCGGAATTCCCGGATTCCCTGGGATCCGGGGGCGGCATTCCCGAGTCGGCGGGAACGGGTTTTACTGGGTTTTTGGGGATTTGTTGGATTTGAGTTATCCCGTTTGGGATTTTGGGTGCTGTGGAGAAGGCGGCGCTCTCTGACAGGCCCCTCGTGCTCCTGGGTGAGTCCCGGAATTCCCGGATTCCCTGGGATCCGGGGGCGGCATTCCCGAGTCGGCGGGAATGGGGTTTACTGG